ATCTTCAAACTTTCTCAAAACATCTAATAAAGGTTAAGGATTGTTATACGTTATGAGCCTTAAGTACTTGGGGAATGGTGATTGGGGGGCTTCCTCTCTATTGCTTAGAGTGTTTAGTGTACGTCCTTAGGACGATATGCGACGCATTCGCTCATAAGTCATAGTCTTTAGTGCAACATGAATTACAAACAATAATCAATGCACTTCTCCTCTAAACAACACAAAAACAAACTTCAAACCTTTTTATCCTTCAGGATCTTAATTTGGAAAACCTTTTTCATAAGGAGAGTTTTGTTAACTCTTGGTTCTACCGCAAACAGGTAACGCCTAAGTCTCCAATGGTCGAGCTGCATACACCTAACTGCTAGAGCTAAGTTTTAACCCTACTCGGGTAAAACATACCGGTGTTCTTGTTAGCCTGAACTACATTTGCTCTGATTTCTCATACCAGATGAGAATACGTAGGCACAAGAAGATGATGTCTTGGCGAGCAACCTTCCCCACCTTTCACCCGTAGTTAGCTGAACTACATTGACTCTGACTTTCCCATTGCACGAGGGAATACGTAGGCATAGAGCGGCAATGCTCTATCGAGTCTCTTTTCTTTTCTTTTGTCCCTGAGCCGTAGCTTAGATAGTAAACACCCTTTTAGATAGACAACAAAGCGTGGATCCCGTCGAGTACGACGGACGTGAGGGGTGCTCATACCTTCCCCTCACGTAACCGACTCCCGAACCTGAGATATGGTTGCGATGACCTGTCTTCTCCCATTTCCGTAGGTTTTCTTCGATCGTTTCCTTTCCCTATTTTGGGATAAATAACGAACGGTGGCGACTCTTCTGTCCTTGCCAGCCCCTCTTCGCAGCGATGCGACATACTGTACCACTAGTCAGCCACATTACACGTTGTCTCCCACAAGCTGAATGTATAGGAGTTTACAATGGTACGAAATAAAAGAATTGGAAGGAATTATGTTGATTCTTTTGGATCTTAATTCACAAAATCACCATAAGTCCATGATCCAAGAAAACTCAAAAACCTTAGTTGGATGTGAGTATAAAATGACCTCTTAGAAGAAATGAAAGAAGGTTCACAATTTCACAGAGAAAACATTTAGAGAGAATCAATCTAGAAACTAAGCTGAACAAGGTAGAAACCTTCTCATTCTCATTATTCTAAGTGTATGCTACCAGTATCTAGCGTGACAAAGTCATCTCTTGGTGATTAATAATTGCTAGAAGACGAAGAAGTTACTCTTAGATTTTCATTTCTTTTTTATTATATGTTTAAGAATGTTTAGCTTAGGAACCAGTGTTGATGCATGTACTAAGCTCATCATGAGTTAAAACCTTTTATGTTGAGCAATGTGAAGTTAATATGAATTAGTCTTTTGTGTTAAATGATGTGTTGCTAAAACTTTGTTTTATCATTGGTAAATTGTTATAAATCTGTTTCTTTGACTGATCAACTTAGGAACAAATGCAAACTTGTTGTTGTGAGAGATCTAGTATCAAGTGGATTTCATGATAAAAGTGATTGAAAATAGTAAGATAGAGATATTCACTATATTATTTACTTTAAAGATAAAGAGCTACAATCATATAGGATATTCAGAATAAACCAGACATGCTTTAAAGTTACAAGCGGGACTTAGAGATTTGTTCCCTTATTTTACTATATATATATATATATATATATATATATATATATATATATATATATATATATATATATATATATATATATATATATATATATATATATATATATATATATATATATATATATATATATATATATATATATTATATATATATATATATATATATATATATATATATATATATATATATATATATAATATATATATATATATATATATATATATATATATATATATATATATATATATATATATATATATATATATATATATATATATATATATATATATATATATATATATATATATATAATATATATATATATATATATATATATATATATATATATATATATATATATATATATATAATATATATATATATATATATATATATATATATATATATATATATATATATATATATATATATATATATCTTTATGATGATGAAAAGACACACCATAAGATCACTTTCTGACCTTTCTTGGCACAACATAACACATCATGTACACACATCTAATGCATCATATTAACATATTATTTTTCAACATGCTATCCATTACTGAACTCATTTACTATTGATAACTTGTTCTTGACTTTGTTTTCCATCAAATTGAACATACATTATTTTATTCTTACACACACACACACACACACACACACACACACACACACACACACACACACACACTCACACACACACACACACACACACACACACACACACACACATACACTCACACACACACACACACACACACACACACACAGATATATATATATATATATAATATATATATATATATATATATATATATATATATATATATATATATATATATATATATATATATATATATATATATATATATATATATATATATATATATATATATATATATATATATATATATATATATATATATATATATATATAATATATATATATATATATATATATATATATATATATATATATATATATATATATATATATATATATATATATATATATATATATATATATACTTGCACGTGACAACGCATGTTTTCAAGCAATAATCTATCATACAATCAATCATCGAGCAATGATGATAAAGTAATCAATCAATGACAAGAGAAAATTAAATATTTATCTATTTATTTGTTTTCTATTCGCAATTTTTCTTCAACTATTATTAAACATTATTTATTCATTAGGCAATCTCTACCGAATAAGTGTTATCATCCAATCTCAGTCATTGGCATATTTTACGTCTGCATGAAAGTTTGACTCATTAACTAATGCAATGTGATTATTCAATTTAAGAGGTCCAAATTTATTTCCATTATTTTGCAATGATTCAAAGAAACATATGCTAGAAGACCCATAAACTTATGGATGAATAACATGCTAGTTATATATGATTACACATTTTCATAATAACTAGTAGACAAACGAGGTTTGATGAGAACTTCAAGAGGAGTAACTTTGATGTTGGATGTTTCCACAACAGCAGCCATATCAATTGGATCACTCGAAGTTTTTGAGATTTCATACGAGTGAATAAAATTCGCAAGAGTCAGAAAAGCCGATCGAAGACCGAACGATAATCCAGGACAAATCCTTCTTCCACTTCCAAACGGAAAAACTCGAAATGATGACCCTTAACATCAACATCTTTATGAGTTGTAAGAAACCTCTCAGGCTTGAACTCTAACGGATCCGACCAAACACTAGGATCTGTTTGGATCTTCCACAAGTTCGTGAATAGTCGGGTTCCTTTCCTCACAAGGTAGCCACCGATGTTGCAATCTTCTCTGAATTCGCGAATTCCTGAAAGAGGTGATGCTGGATAAAGCCTTAGTGTTTCTTTGATAACAGCTTGAAGGTATACCAACTTGCTTATATCTGTCTCTGTAATGCATAGTCTCTCTTTGCCAATGTGGAGATCAATTTCTTCTTTTACCTTTTCAATGTGTGAGGATTGTTCAATAGTAAACACAATGCCCATGTGTGTGTAACACTGGTTGTGTCTGTTGCTCCTAAAATTAGTGCCTGCAACATGAATACAAATTATATAACATTTGTGTAATTTATTTTTTAATTTGCAGACAAAATGATAACAACCAATAGAAAATCACTTTGTGAGATTCAGATTTCATGCTCTTTTAACTAAAGTTTGGTAAGAAGGGTCCAGCCCGTTGGATATGTCTGATTTTACCGCACTTTTTTTTAAAGTGAGTAAAAGTTTTAAATATGTATCCTCTAATGTTCTTGCTCCATCTCGGTTTTCTAGGACATCATATTTTTTTACAATTTTCAGACTATAGTGTTGTAGTGGCTGCAAGTCCGCCTTCTCCCACCCTTATTTTTTATATGGGGCGGATCAAAATTTTAAATCGTCTCATCCCATCCTTAATTTTTTATAGGATGGATAAAATTTTTAAATCCGCACCCTCAACTATATTTATCCCACTCCGCCTCATGTTTTTGAGACTTTTATGAAATGTGACTAGACAGAACAGACATATTTATTTGTCACCCATAATTCGTCCTATCAATACTTTTTAGCCGCGCCTGAGTTTGCAGACATATTTTTTAATAAAATGAAACATTATCTATGTAGTAAATATGTGATAATCATATGAACATATGAACATACCAGTGTTGTAGCTTTGATGACAGAATCTGAATCAAATCCATGAATGTTTGTTCCATCAATAGTAGAAAGCATCACATCCATAAAATCTTGATCCCTTTTACTCTTATCATCAACCCTCTTCTTCTTGTGCTCATCCAACCATTCACTCACAACAACATCCAATCTCTCAAAATTCTCCTTCATATTCTTTTCATTTCCACCAAAATCAAACCACCTCAACAAAGGAACAACATCACCAACCGTTAACACACTAATCAAACGCATATAATCCCTCAAAGCTTTCAAACATTGATTCGCTTCTTCCTCGTTAACTATCACATTCTCTCCAAAATATCTCTTTCCAACAAACATTCTAAGAGCAACATTAAAAGCTACTTCATGAAACCACTTCTTCATCTCCACCAATAAATATCCATTTCGGTCTTTTTCATTTGACCATAAATTAAAAAGCTCTTTAATCGAAGTTTCAACTTCGGAGACACGAAGGTGAGTTAGTAGATCGAGTCGATGGTTCGAGAGAAAATTAAGTGTAACGAGTTTGCGCATTTCGCGCCAATAAGAACCGTAAGGTGCAAAACCGAACATTGCATGATTATATGTCATGTGTTCCAATGCAACGAGGTTTGGTCGATAGGACACAGCAATGTCGTTTATTGTGTAACATTCTTTTGCAGTTTCCCAATTGTTGATTACAAGAGTTTTCGCGGTGCAAGTTTGATGGTGAAAATAGGACCATACTTGTCTGCCAAGGCACCTAGAAAATGATGAGTTGGTTGAGATTTGGCTAAGAGGGGAAGGTGGCCTATTATTGGCCATGCACCAGAAACTATTGGAGGTTGTTTGATTTTCTTGGTTTTGGAGTGATGGAAGAGAATTATGAAGAAAAGGACGGTTGAAAGGAGAAGAATTGCAAGTGTGTTTTGAGAGAAATAATCCATTGGATTTGTGAAGATGATGATGATTCTTTGAAGAAATGAGAGGGTTTGGATTTGAGGTTTGTACTCTAGAGATTTATGACTTAACTTTGTTGAATATTTTTATTTTTAAGTGAATATTTCATTTTATAATGTAAGATAAATATTATAAATTATTACATCATAAATGAAATATAAAAAATAAAAATTTAATAGTTAAATGTATTTAGTCCAAATTTTGTATACATTTGATTTTTGGGATTTTTTTAATTACTTTTTGTTTATGTTTTAATATAGATGGAATATTAATTGAAAAATAAAAAGTAGAAATTATATAATAAATAGTTAAGAAAATTATTAATAAAAATATTAAAATTTATTGACTGTTTTAATGTGTATAAAAAACTTTAAGACAACAAACCAATGAGTATGTTATAAACATTATTTAAAACTACAAACCAATGGGTATAAAAATATTAAAATTTATTGACTGTTTTAATGTGTATAAAAAACTTTAAGACAACAAACCAATGGGTATGTTGTAAACATATTTAAAACTACAAACCAATGGGTATATTATAAATACTACTCACTTAATTTACATGTTTGAATTCAATGTTTTTGGATTCACTTTACTTCTTTTTTTAATATTGAAGAAAAAACATTAGTTTTTTTTTATAAAAAGATTTAGGTGAGTTGGACTATGAATTCCTGTACCAATACTTTAAAAGTGGTATTTTTCATCAAATTAATAAGGGTACTAGATTAAATCGGATAACTTGATTGAATGAATTAGTGTATATAATAAAACTATATAATTATTAAAAGCCGCATAACTTGATCTCTAAAAAAAGATCATGACATCTAAAATTTTTTAACATTTCATAGTATCATAATTTGCAAATTCATTCTTTAAATTTAAATTTTAAACATAATCATTACACACAACATAATATTACAAAATACAAACTTATATAAATTTTAAACAAAGTCTAATTGCACATAAATTGAATAACAAAATAAATTTAATTTTAAGAAGAAAAATTTGTTCCAAATAAGTTTTGAATAAAGTCTGTTTATATTTTAATTTTACTTTTTCTAAAAAAATTATCAAAACGACGTTGAGAAAAAAAGTGTTAGTGCGTGAGCCACTTTTAGTGAGGAGAGAAAGGGAGACAATAAATCAATAAAGATTGTATTATTGAATTGAATGTGTTACAAACTGAATTACAAAGTATTTATTTATATACACCTAAGCGACTTGACTACTAAGTAACAAACCCTAAACCCCAATCAACTTTGGGCTTGAGCCACACAACTTGGATTATATTATATCTCAAGATATCCCCCTATAATTCAAGTTGTCAAAACACACTAATCATTGTTGATATGAACTAATCCAAATTTCTTTCTCAAAGTTAGAAACCTGTCAATCTTCAATCATTTGGTGAAGATGTCGACCAATTGTGCTTCACTTGAGCAATGCCTTACTTCAAGTTCACATCAATTCACCTTTTCCCTTAAGAAGTGAAACCTAGCTTCGATGTGTTTACTCCTTCCATGCAAAACTGAATTATTTGCTAGATTTATGGCTGACCTATTGTCGATCTGCAGTACTAGAGGTTTCTTTACTTTGACCTCCATTTCTTCAAGCACATGTATGATTTAAATTGCTTGACACGCAACATATGATCCTATTATATACTCAGTCTCACATGATGACAATGCCACCACAATTTGCTTTCTCGAACACCATGAGATTAGAGCACCAAATTATTGAAAGAAATATCCAACAGTGCTTCTTCGATCTTCCTTATCTCCACACCAATCAACATCTGAATTGCAAGTAACGATAACTTTTTTGCTTTCAGAGTCTCTTTGAAATAGAATTTTATAGATTATCGATCCGTTTAAGTATCTCAGGATTCTTCTTGCAGCCTTCATGTGTGACACCCTGTATCTGCTCACTAATCAGACTAAGAAACATATATCAGGTCAACAGTTGCACACATATCTCAGAGATCCGGCAAATTTTTTGAACAAAGTTACATCGACTTTGTCTTTCTCTCCATGCTTCTCCAACTTCAAATTTAGTTCGATAGGCAAAGATGCAGGAGTCGAATCATCCATCCCGAGTCTCTTGAGTATCTCTTTGACATGCTTTCTTTGATGTAGCACCATACCTTGCTTCGACATTTGTAATTCCATGCCTAGGAAATATGAAAAATTTCCCCAATCTGACATTTCAAATTCCTTATTCATCAGCTATTTGAACATCGACAAGTTCTTCAAACTATTTCTAGTTACTAGTAAGTCATTAATATATAAGCATATGATTATAATATCTTGTGCCACAACTTGAACATAGACACCATACTCAGATTTGCATTTGATAAATCCTAATTCGACCAAGTATGAGTCGATCTTCTTGTTCCATGCTCTAGGTGCCTGCTTGAGGCCATAGAGCGCATTGTGAAACTTGTATACTTTTCGTGTTTCCTCCTAAATCACAAACCCAAGAGGATGTGTGACATACACCTCTTCATTAAAAGGTCCATTAAAAAATGTTGATTTCACATCTAAGTGAAATGTTGATCAACCTTACTTACATGCCAAGGCTACAACCAATCTGAAAGTCTCCAATCTTGTGATAGGTGCAAATAATTCAAATTAGTCGAGTCATGCTCTCTGAAGAAATCCTAGAGCTACCAATCTCACCTTATGTCTTGTTATCGACTCATTAGCATTATGCTTCAACCTGAACACCTACTTCACTTCAATAGCTTTTACATGTACTAGTAATTCAACCAACTCCCATGAGTTGTTTCTTTCGATTTTTTGTAACTCTTCGACCATAGCAGACTTCCACTATTTATCCTTTAAAGCCTCACTATAGTTGATTGGTTCAACACCAGTAAGTAAAGCAAAATGAACTAGTTTTCCATCTGTTGTGACTTCATCATCACCAACCACTTCATAGTCTTGATGTCTTGCTGGACGAGCTCTAGTTCTTTGAGGTTTATGACTTGTGCTAGCTATATCCTCTTCGAATTTGACTGTGTCGGGTATGTCAGCAACAACTTCTACTTCGACTGGAATATCGACAATTTCTTTGACTTTGACTTCATCAATTTCTTCATCAACGCCATAACTCATCAATGGCTTATCAATTGCATTACTAGATTTCCAATCCAAGGAAGAATTTTCATCAATTAAAATATCTCGACTCATCACGATCTTCTATTTAATTTGATTAAAAAACCTGTACGCACCAGTTTTATGATATCCTAGCAGAGTCATATGTTCACTTTTGTCATCAAGCTTCCTTCTTCTAGCATCAAGAACACGCTTGTAACAAATAGAGTCAAAAACCTTCATATGACTCACTGATGGTCGTTTTCCACTCCACACTTCTTTAGGAGCCTTTGTCTTTAGCTTCTTGGTAGGGCACCTATTCAGAATATAAACAGTAGTTAAAACAACTTCACCCCATAAGGATTTTGGCAAATTTTTCTGCTTTAGCATGCATCTCGTCAAGTCCAATATGGTCCTATTTCTTATTTCTGCTATTCCATTATGTTGAGGAGTATAAAGAGCAGTTACCTCAAGATCAACACCGTCTTCTGCACAAAATTCTTCAAATATCTTAGATGTGTATTCACCACCTCCATCTGTTCGCAAAACCTTGATCTTCTTGTCATTCTGATACTCGACAAGTTTCTTGAATCTCTTAAAGATTTCAAATACTTTGTCCTTGTAGTTGATCACGTAGATCCAGAGTTTTTGACTGTACTCATCGATAAATGAGAAAAAAATATTTGTTTTCACTAATGGTATGCTCTTCAAAAGGACCACATACATCTTATTGTACAACTTCGAGTATGCAGGATGATCTCATTGGCATACTCGAAATGAAAAACTTCCTGGACTGCTTTCTTCTGACTAGACAACTTTCACAGAGTTTGTCGGGCATCTCAAGACTTGGTATACCAATTACCATATCTTGAGTGATCAGTTGATTGAGCGACCTAAAGTTCAGATGGCCAAACCTCAGATGTCATAACCAACTATTCTTGTGGTCGTCAACTGTTTTCAGACATTGTACTGCAGTTGAACTGATCATGGTCATAAATGTTATATTGTTCGACATATTAGATTTCAAGACCAAATTATTCTGGATGTCAAAACGTTCTAAGGCTCCATCTTTCATAACCACTGAGAACCCCTTTTCAACCAGTTGTTCAACACTTAGCAGATTTCACTTCATTACAGGGACATAGAGTACATCTTTGATCAAGGCTTTCACTTTATTACGCCTTTGAATAACTATGTTTCCAGTACCTTCTGCTTGCAATGAGCTATTATCAGCAAGTTTGACCTTGATCTTCTTCAACTTGTCAAAATTTACTAAACATAATTTTCAACCAGACATGTGATTCGGGCAGCCTAAGTTGAGGAACCAGATCTTGGATTCGACATGGTCATCTGCAACTGCAGCCATAACCAACATATCATCAAAATCATCTGAATCTTGACGTGCAAGGTTCTCTCCTTCATCCTTGCCTTTTGTCGATCCCTTTTCTTTCTTGTACCAACAATGCTTGGCCAAGTGACCTCACTTTTCACAATTATAGAATTGCACATCTTTTTTTCACTTATTTTTCTTTTTGATAGGAATTTCCTTTTTCTGTTTTCGAGGATTCAAAAACTCTATCATCGACCTTATTCTTGTAAGGATTTGACCAAGACTTCTTGCCCCGAGTCTTGTCAATTTTGTCTTTGAACTTGTTAGAACCACCATTCTTCTTCCATGACTGAGCCTGTAGTGCTTGTATCGAGTCTTGAACTTCTTTCCTTCGACAATCATATCTCATGCGCGTCCAACGAACCAAGCAAATCTTCCAGTTTTAAGGCTTCAAGATTGTTGGATTCTTGAATAGCTACAATAATGTGATCAAAGTGAGAGATCAACGTACGCCTTATCTTTTCAATTATCATCTTATCAGTTAGGGTTTCAAAATAAC